GACACAGAAGTAAATAAAGATATTAAAAACAGAGGAAATGTTACTGCTGGGAAGCCTGATAAAAATGGGGTATAACTACTTATTTAAATGTCTATTTTTCCTGGTTTCCAACTAAAGAATTGGACTAAAAACCAGCTTTGAGACGCTTTTTGTAGGACGTTAACAGCAAAGTTTAACTTTCTACGACTGTGTTGCAAAATAACTGCTGAAAAATCTAAAGTTTTGCAACAGGATAAGAGAGAATGGAATAAAGTAAGAATAAATATCTCTTTTTCCTGGTTTCCAACTAAAACAATTGAGCCAATAAGCTGCAATGATCCGCTTTTTATAGGACGTTTACAGTTTAACTCTACAATCTTTTCCTCTGTGTTGCAAAATAACTGCTGAAAAATCTGAAGTTTTGCAACAAGATAAGAGAGAATGGACTAAAGAAATAATAAATATCTCTTTTTCCTGGTTTCCAACTAAAGAATCGAGCCAATAAGATGCTATGAGACGCTTTTTGTAGGACTTTTACAGATTAACTCTACTTTTTTTCCCTCTGTGTTGCAAAATAACTGCTGAAAAAAATAATCTTAAGTTTTGCAACAGGATAAGAGAGAATGGAATAAAGTAATGATAAATATTCAGCCACTTTTTGTGGGACGTTTACAGCAAAGTTTAACTTTCTACGACTCTGTGTTGCAAAATAACTGCTAAAAAAATCTGAAGTTTTGCAACAGGATAAGTGAGAATGGAATAAAGTAATGATAAATATCTCTTTTTCCTGGTTTCCAACTAAAGAATCGAGCCAATAAGATGCTGTGAGTTGCTTTTTGTAGGACGTTTACAGTTTAAATCTACTTTTTTTCCCTCTGTGTTGCAAAATAACTGCTAAAAAATCTAAAGTTTTGCAAAAGGATAAGAGAGAATGGAATAAATTAATGATAAAAATCTCTTTTTCCTGGTTTCCAACTAAAGAATCTGGCTAAAAAGCAGCTATGGGCCGCATTTTGTAGGACGTTTACAGTTTAAATCTCCTCTGTGTTGCAAAATAACTGCTGAAAAATCTCAAGTTTTGCAACAGGATAAGAGAGAAAGGAACAAAATAATAATAGTAAACACCCCAACCCCCTGTAAATTTTAACTAAATTTTTGGCATTATCACTATCACTTATTTCAGACGTGTATATATATTTATATTCTGTGTGGAATTTTATATATACATATATATGTATAAACATATATATAGACATGTATATATGTATATGCTGTTTTATTTCTGGAGTTAGTAAGAAAGATAATTTCCCTCTGGCATTATTAAGGTATTTCTGATTCTACTTCTGATAAATTTCTTCCATCTGAGCGGTGACATTTTTAAAAAAAAAATGCAACTGAGGCATGACTCAGCGTTTTTCCTTGTTTCTTTTGTCTGGGTAAAACTAAACTGATATAAAATCCTTTTTTAGTGTTGCTTCCTGGACACAAATGGAGGAAAAACTGTCAGAAAATACGCGTGTGGGCGTGGCCTCAGGTACGCGCTTCCTGATTGGCTGACAGGTCCAACCTGAATGTCCTGCTCAGCCTGTGCCAACGTGGATGTATTTAGACATAAAAACGTGCATTTTTTTGCGTTTAAAGTCATAAAAAGTCATAAAAAAAGACCACTCTAAAGACAGAAACACCCTTTAGATTAGAAATTTGACTTT